GAAAGATACCGTGTGTGTGTGTGTGTGTGTGTGTGTGTGTGTGTGTGTGTATGTGTGTGTGTGTGTGTGTGTGTGTGTGTGTCATTTCCAGAAGAGAAGGGCCATCTTGAGCCACCACTGGGCGGGACCCTGCCAAGCTCTGCCTGCCTGAAGTAGTACTGGAGGCAGAAGTCAGCAGCAGGCCGCGATGGAGCAAGGGCTCCCAAGGGATGGAACCCAGAGATGCAGAGACCTGGAGACTAAGGACGTCCTTGGCTTCGAGTCAGCTCAGCCCCAGCCGCAGATGCAGAGAGGGTGAAGAGGGGAGTCACAGGAAGGGAGCTAGGCAGTCCTGAACTATATTCAACGCAGGAGGGCACAGGGCAGGGACAACCAAGAGACAGTCACTTGGAGTGGCTCTGGTTAAGCATCTGTAACTTGCTCTGTATTGGAATTAGCATAAAAATATTGACTGTGGAGCTAGCGAGGTGACTGGGGGTTAAGAGCACTGGCAGCTTTTCAAGAGGAACCAGGTTCAAGCCCCAGCTCTGACATCACAGCTCACACCCACCTGCAACTCCAGTTTCAGGGGATCCAATGCCCTCATCTGGCCTCTGCGGGCACCATACACAAGCGTGGCACACAGACATATGTGCAGACAAAATACCCACACATATATAATAAAAACAAGTCTTTAAAAGAATATGCTGAGTATCTCAAATGTTTGTTAAAATGTGTTTGATGATTAGTGAAATAAAGAGCCCTAGACATTCTCCTCCGAGTCTGAGGGAAAGCCTGGGCTCCATCCCAGGCCTTCTCAGCTCCCAGGCACGTACTGCTTCACTGTTAGTGCTGAGCAGAACTGAATTTTTCATGCTTTCTTTGGTGAAGTCATTAAATTAATAGCTCCATCTACCATCTTTTGTTTTGGGGTCTCCAAGGAAGTAATAAATTTTCTTTCCAAGACCACGGTAGAAGGGTTGGGCTGACCTCCGCCAGCCTCTCTGTGATAAGAGATACTGCAGGCGGCAGAGATTTACGGTTGATGGATGCACCCCAGCGTGGGTTAATCACCTCTGTAAACCTCAGGATGCTCACTGGGGGCCTATCTGGGGAAGACTGCCCTCCCCTCTCTGTCCCTGCTTGCCCTTGGGTTTATTTAATGTTTAGCTATGATATGTGTTTTGATGTCACTGTGTGACCTAAAGGACATGAAGAAGTCAGAGTAAGCCTTCAACATGCAGCACTCTTTGGGGCACTGTCCCTCCCTGGTCTGCTCCATAATTCATGTTCTGTCTGGGTTGTCACACATAGTCGTGCAGTCTTTAAGGCAGGCTTGGTCAGAGGCCTTAAGCCAGACCAATGACTCGTGGCAATGCACACTTGTAAGTGAAGATGAATGTACCAAACGGTAAATAAACTGTGTGACTCAACCAGCCACAATACAGCTTCTACAGTGAGATTCTTCTCTCTCTCTCTCTTTTTTTATTGTTGTGTTATGTTTTGTTTGTTTTGGTTTTTCTTTTAAATTTTGTTTTGTTTTTCAGGGGGAGACTACAAGGGCAGATGACAGATTTGAGGAGACAGGGAGGTAAGTGGGATCAGAATGCATGATTCAAAATCTACAAAGAATCAATGAAAGTTATAAGAATTTTTTTTTTTTAAAGCAGGCTCAGTTTCTTTCTGGTTAACTTGTTTATGGGGAAGAGATTATGACTCTGACAATTCACTTCCATGGAAACATAAAGTGATGTTGAGGGAGGCAGGTGACCCATGTCCACCAAATTTGGAATCTGAAAGAACAAGGAGGAGACAGAAAGGAGCCACAGGCCATGGGGCCGGCACTTCCTTGTTGAGCAGGACCCTCACAGTGATCCAGAGGCCCTGGTGCCCGTAGAGGACCATGGGGAGGGCGGCAGAGTCCACACCTGAGTTTCTTCCAGGGATGCAGACCAGGTGAGGCCCATGGTAGTCAAATAGAACCACCTCTGCTGCAGCTAAATGCCTGTAAACAGAACCGCCACTCAGAGGGGCAAATTAATTGGCCATTGGTGTCTAGTTGCAAATGCTGGTGACCAGAGATATGGATCCAACCTGGAAGCCGGAGGAAGAAGAACCTTCCTCAGGTGGAATAGGGAGTTTCTGGAGTAGAGGCTAGCAAGGTGGACTGTTGGAAGAGATGGGCTGATGGGGGATATCTTTCTGTATGTTGTGAATATGTGCTGCTCTGATTGGTTGATAAATAAAGCCATTTGGCCTATGGCAAGGCAGCTTAGAGGCAGGTGGGAAATCCAAACAGAGAGACAGGAAGAAGGCAGAGAGAGACAGGAAGAAGGCGGGGAGAGACAACAGCCACCACTGAAGGAGAAGCAACATGCCAACAGATCAGTAAAGCCACAGAACATGTGGCAAAATGTAGATTAATAGAAATGGGTTAATTTAAGATATAAGAGCTAGCTAGCAAAAGGCCTGCCATAGACCATACAGTTCGTAAGTAATATAAGCCTCTGTGTATTTAACTGGGTCTGAGTGGCTGTGGGACCTGGTGACTGACTCTGAATGCTGATGGGAAGTTGGGTGCTGTGGGGGGAGGCTTTGGGTGGAAGTCATAGGAGGGAAAACAGCAACTTAGAGCAAAGCTGAAGTCTGACTAGATGTGCTGAATCTCAGTGTCCAGAGTTTCCCCCAAATCTGCTGGCTGCAGCCATTGCCAATCCCAGAGAGAGCCTTGGACTAAAAAGTTCAGTGCCCGGGGGTCCTATGTGGGGTACACTATCACATGAGGAGCAGGCAGTACATGGAAGGACATTCAGGCAAGTCTGACCACATATGTGTTTCCTAGCAGCTAGAGGCAGAGGCCCCACGTGGAAGCAGAACCATGTGGTCACTCTGTGGCAGCCCCCTAGACTGGCCAGGTATAGGGGTGGCTCCAGGGCAGCATGTCAGCCGCTGTGTGTCCAAGAGGAAAGTACCCCCAGGGCCAGACCTAGCACCCGGCTCCAGTTGAAGCCTCTAAATACTCCTACCTGTCCTTTATCCCATGTTTGGAATGAGAATAGTCCACAGCTCTGAGTAACTGGGAAGACCTCTCCTTCTCTTAGGAATTCAGCATTGGCTTCTGGCACTGGGGGAGCCCAGCTGGGCAGCCTGACCTCTGTGTGTACAGCTGTCTAGCAGATGGCCCTCGTGGGCATCCAAAGGCCCAGGAAAGTGGCAACATACAAGCCAGCCACCAAAGTGAGGCTTTT